AAGAAGAAGAGAGAGAGAAAATATACAGGAAAGGAGGGAGCCAAAGAGAGGATAAACTTAATGAGAGAGGGAGAGGGGCCCAAAGAGGTTCCTAATGCTGATTTATGAATGCTTGACAGTCGTTAGCTGGAATAAATGGCTTGTAGGAGTGGCTGCAGCATTACTCCCTGTACAGGATACTAAGTGCATTGTAAGGTCAGTTGTGAGGCCAAACTTACATATGTAGTGATCTGCCCTTCCAAACCTTTGTTAATATATCAGTCACAGGAACTGTAAGTAGTCCATCTGATATACCGGGATGACTGTGGCTCCCTAACCTGCACAGTAATTACTTTATTTTAGTTTTATCTTAAGAACAACACAACAATTTAGTGGACAGAACTTTTACAGAAAAAATAAAAGCACCAGCTCTGTTTTTATCAATGTCATTTGCTACAATGTAGTGATGGAATTATTACTCAATTTAGCAAGTGAGAGAAAATTTACCCAATTAATCATTTAAGCCATTTATTAAATAAAATACATGGTTACAGGTTAATGAATCTGAGGATTTGCTACTTTTCTTGCTTTTAAACCAGTGTCAAGTGAAAAAAGAATTTTTGAAGGTGACACTTCGAGAACAGCAAAACTGTGATGGGTATTTTCATGTTTTGTAACATTTTAAAATGAATGGTTACTAGCTGAATTGCAAGAGCAGGCAGAATATTTAATATAATCAATAGACTCCAGCCGTATGGTCTGTCCCAATGCTTTAGCATTTTGTGCAGTGTCATGTGGGGCTAACCTACTAGATGTGGGGCAACATCTGCTAAATGGATAGAAGACAAGTTCATAAAAAGTTTATTGTGCAAATGTTTTGCATAGTCTGTAACTAGGCAACATACTGTATGCCATTGTGAGTTTAGTATTCCCTCACGAGGTCATAAGTAAGGTTTATGTACATTCTCCCAATCATTGTGCAATGAATTGCTGTAGTAGTAAATTTTATATTTTAAAGCTGCTGCCAATAGAATTTGAAACATGATGATGACTTTAGTCTCATCATAATCAAATCTTGCATCACTCTTGTAGATACCGCTGCCGACTTCACAGAAGGATAAATACATTTTCAGAAGATGTCATAAGAAACTGTCAGAATGCAAAATCAAAAATGGAATAAATTTTTGTGAGAATAGATCCATGCTGTACATTTGATGCCATACAGTATCTTTTCAGTATTGAACAGAATAAAAACCCTTGATGAAAGGCAGAAGACGTGTTTTTTCTTATAGGCTATCATCATAGTTGCATCACTTTACACTTGAATCAAACTCACACTGCACAATATTAAAGTCCAACATTTTTAATACACACTCACTCTGAGCCTGGAGTTCTCGTGAGCAAGAATCTGCAGTGTTCCTTCCGATCACCATCACTATGACTTGCATTATTGTGTTTTTTCATCCCTTGATTTCTGTTGTGATGTGATGAATAACACACACGCTTTTGTTTTCTTCTTTGTTGCTTTCAGTTGACCTATATCTCCAGACAAAAGGAATGGAGGGAGTGGAAAAAATGGAATGATTGTATGAATGGATGTCTATTTCAGATTTTTAAAAAAAGAAGAAATCGGAAGGTGAGGAAATAGACCAGGGAGGAGGAGACATGGGAGAGGGGCAAGTAAATGAGACATGAGCAGACAAGAGAATGTGAAAAGGTTGAAAGCGGAAAACAAAGAAAAAGAAACGAACAGAAAAAGATGAATATTGACAGAGAAGGGAAGCAAATGAACTAACTCTGTGAATGACTGTGCTCTATCTGTCTATCTAATTTCTTTATCTTTCTTACAGTAAATACTGCCACCAATACTACTTTGTAATATTGAGTATATTGAGTCCTACTATAACTACAAGTACATCTAGTAGTATTGTTGCTGCTACCGTACATCTGCCACTGCCACTGTCTTTTCTCCAGTGTTTAACAATGAACACATCCCAGTAACAGCATTTGTTTGAGTATTTTCGACATTCTTCTCTTCTGTACTTCAGACTGAAATGCATTTTGGCCAGACTGTACTTTGTACTGCTTGTTATGGACAGAGCACGTTCTATGAAAGTGTACTGAACATGCACGTTCTGTTTGTCTTTAAAGTGAGTGAGAAAACTAAAAGACCTGATGCAACATCTATGTAATGTGCTCTCTTTTTCACTCTTATGTACTTTGCTGATTTTGACCATTACTTTAATACTATAATTCATCACTGCTCTTTAAAGCCATAGTTATATCACAAATGAAACACACAGACTCATATACTGTTCATGAAGGCCCTACCTCTAACCAATGAGTTTACCATGGTCATAACCTTCACAGGACTCATTAGTATAGATTGCAGGCCTTCATAAAGCTGAGACCAGTGGTGACAGATAACGGGATGGACACACACACACACACCCACACACACAGTGCTCCATAATGAGACCTTATTCCGGACACCCAGCCCAGCTGCCTTTAAATTACAGCAGCCACTCTGCCATACATACTTAATCAGCTAATGTTGTTTTATTCCTTATCATTAATTTGGTCCTGTTTCTGATTTATCTGAACTGTTCTGCATTACACCAATATTTTGTCCCCTTTACAGTGCAGAGAGGCAGAGAAAGAGGAAGCCATGTGCTTATTCATGTACTTAGAGGATTGCATCTGTAATGAATTGACTGGTTGTTTAGGCATACATAACACAGCCTACTACTCACCTTAATAATGTCTGCAGGTCGTAACTCCTTCTAACACAAAGGTATATAAGGCATGCAGACACACACAAATATTCACACTACCAAACACACACAATCCACCTATATTAGCCACTGACCTCTGCTTGTGCCCGGTCTTCTCATTGTCACATTGTAAATGCATTGTTTTATGACTGGAGGAGAAAATGTTGTGTGCCTTTTGTGTATGCCTAATTGTCTTTATTTGGTGACCATATATATGTATACTGTATGTAGAGGTCATACACTTTGGCTTATTATATATACTGTATGTATATTTTATCTAGACCAATATCAGTCCACTGGATACTATATACAGTTTTATACAAATGATCATTAAAAAGATGGTGTTCATATTGAAATCAGTAGGCTAAATTGAATTAGTATGGCAGTTAGTGAATCAGCAATATAATGAATTATGAAAACTTTTCTGTTATCAGTTTTAAAGATGCATGGTGTTTAAATACGAAACAGATTTGTTTTAATCAAGGTCACTGTACAGAATGAGATATAGGAACTTAACATCTGTCAGTGTTTATTATGTGTTTGGTGTATTTTGTAGTGGTGTCCTAAAACCAACTTGATCACACATAAAAGTAGCCAGCATGCATCATGCATCAACTATTGACTTCACATTTAGTCGATTGAATTTTAGCCTCTTTCCATCTGCACCAGCTCCAGTTTTGGATTCTTCCATGCATTCTTGTGTGTATATTTTTGACACTATTTCACTACCCTGCACTATGCATAAGCACAAGCACACAGTTGCACACATGCACATACTTAATACGAGCATATGCATAATTGAAACACACATAAAAGCTCATACTTAAAGCCCACTCACACAGGGCTATGTGTTGACCTGTGAGTCACTGCTGTCAGCATTGATTTCCTTTCCCCAAAGTGACCCCTGTCACCACAGCGATATAGTGGCCTATATTTCACCAGAGTTGCTGGGTCTCTCTCTTTCTTTCTGTCTCTCAAGCCTTTCTCTCTTTATTCTTTATTTTCTTTTTTTCCTTTCTGTATTTGAATCTCTCTTGTCAGTTCTGTTCCTTCACTTTTTGTTCCTATCAGTCAGGGAAAAAAAGACAGAGTCATGGTAATGATGAGGGAATGAACAGAAGACTCTTTTATCTGTATGTGTTCTGTTTCTTTATCTCAATGTCCTTCTTTCAGAGCAAGTGACTTCCTGTATTACTAGTGCATCAGTTTTTTTTAATCCCCAAAGAGGAAAGCCAAATTATTAAGCCATTAGAATAATCATATTTCAAATTTCATCTTCAGTTCTTTCTTCTGTATTTGATTTTGTCAGCTTTTTGATTTGATTTTGGTGATTTGTGTGCAGTGGTCCCTGTTTTGAAAATAAGCAAAGGAGAAAGATATTTCTTTTTGTTATGGTAGCCTCCCTCACCAGGAGGGTGAGGGAGGACTGAGGTTGGACTCAAGTGTGCAGACCCAGGTGCTAGGGGGAAAAACATGACAGTAGCAGGTAAATAAAGAGAACACAAAGTATCAAAAGAACATAACATGGGAAAGTACGGTACTTGGATATGTATGATATGTAGTGTAGTGTAAATGAGCGTAGCTCGTAGGTAGTGTGGTAGAGTCAAGCCAAAACGCACAGTGTCTGTCAGCGTAGCATTCTACCAACATGTACAGTCCGCGTTACTATGTTAATGTTCCGGCAAAGACGGAGCGTCTGCCAGAGGTTTATATAAGGAGGCGAAGGTAATCATCGGGATGCACCCCAGCTGTGTGCATCGACAAACCAGTCGCTAATTACTGGAATGCAACACAGCTGAGGTGCAGAGCCCACAGGATAGAGAGAGCAGAGGAGAGAAAGGCGGAGGAGAGGCAGCAGCCGCCGAGCGGCCCTGACACTTTTCTTTCAATGGTTGTTTACACTGTTTTTGTTTGTTATTTCTTGTCCATTTTCCCCATGATACTACTGTCACATTGTCATCATCAGTAAAATGGAAAATCTGAGCAGTTGGTTAGGTTTGGTCCTTGTAATGTCAAACTTGATTACAGTTTAGAGGGCCTGAGAAAATACTTATCTCTAAAATTAGTTAACTTTTAAAATTAGTCAACAATTAAATAATAGAGCTGTAAGTTGTAAACGGGTGAACATCTAATTCTGACTCTTTGAATATGTTGACTATTCACTTCATCCTGTAACTTTATCCACACACATCCATAACAAATTAAAAATCATATAATAATCTGGATGTCATTCTGTATTTTTCTCAGGTGTCTGATGTTGATCTGAGGACTTTGTTGCTGGATGAGCTTGAAAGACCTGTGGTTCACATCCTACACAAGTACGTACAGACATGCTCTCTGAACTTATAGTCACTCAGCTTCTCTCTTCATCCTTAAGGCTATGTGTATCTCAAGAAAATAACAAATAACTACTTTAAAATAACTTCATGATTTGTCCACACACATACACACATGTACACGTCTCCCATTGTAGAAAACAGTAACTGAGTGTGCCTCAGGGATCTGTCTCTCCTTGGGGAAGCCAAGTTCCTTAGGGAGTCTCTGCAACACCACTGTCCTCTTGGCAATATGCAAATCCCTGTGTGATATTTCTCACCATGCAGTTCTCCAAGGCCCTTAAAGACTTGTTCTGTTTCTACTTTAGACCTTTCTACAAAGACATAATTTTTATTTTAGTTTCATACATTTTGACAAAACTAATGAAAGTAGTTTTCTCAATCTAAATCTCCATACTCATAGATATGTAAGTATTCCTTTTTTTTTTTTTTTTACTGCTACCTAGACCCTTGGACTCATCAGACCAGTCATCTACATCACTTGCTGAGGCTAAAGTTACTAGGTGTCAATTTACATTTTGCTGTATAGTGAGTGCCTTTAGCGGCTGAGCAGTAACGAGAAGTGTGATACACAGAATAGATGGCCCAGGGCTCAGGAGATCATACAAATAAAATGTTAAAATACACTGACCTAATATAACTACCGTGCAGCGTAATACTACTCCTTCATAGTGCAGACAATAAAGACACATCTATCAAATACGTCATAGAAATTTACAGTATATTGTAATGTAAGAATAATAATCTAAATATCACCAAAACAACTAATTAAAGCACTGAGCCAAGCAGGAATTGGTGGTCTGGTTCAATGTGGCACAGCAGAGTCTGTGGCTGTCCAAGGCTTCTTTGCCAGTCCTGTGAAAGGCACTGAAGGGTCTGATGGATCCTCAGTCAATGTACTTGCTGTAAGAGATGCAGGGATTTGCATCACATCTTGAGTGTTTTAAATGGCTGCCCATATAATAATAAAAAAATGAAATGAGTAAATCAGATCTCATGAAATGAAATGACAGGCAGGTTGAAACAGCGGGTGAGTGTGTGAGTTTCTTGCCACCAGCGTCAACATTAAACACATCAGATTGAAACCACCCTCCAGGGTAGTATCACTCAGCTAAGCGTGTGTGTGCGTGTACGCAGACATGCTTTTATCTGCTTTTCCATTTCCTCAGTTTTTTGTTTATCTGTATATTTATATATTTTTTTGTTGAAATTGTATACAGAACACACACACACACACACACATCTATCAATGTATTGATGTGTGCACAAATGTCAGTTTTTTTTTTCTTTTCCATTTCCCTCCATTTTTTAAAAATTATTTCCCTTAGTATAATCTCCTGCAGAGTTTTTTACACTTGATTTAACATGAGTGCTGTTCTCCTTTGTGGAAAGCTCTGAAATGCTGAAAGTTGAGGTGATATCCAAATTCTCATTTGGGAAAGGTAGAAACTTAACTTATTTCACACTCTGGCAGTACCCCTCAGTGTACAGTAAGTGTTTTAATTCAAACTTCCAAACTTTTCTTTGTTAACAAACGTGATAAGATATTTAAACTTAGGAGACTGAAGGGTCATTACTCTTAGCTGCAGTAGAACATTCCATATGGTTTTGCCTGTTTTTTATTGTCCATCTGTCATGCTGACAGTCTCCTTACTCTTCCTTTACTATTTTCTTTTTTGCAAAGACAGAAGACACATTGCTTTCTATTTCTCCCTACCTTTCTCTCCCACTTCTCTCTCAGGACGGGAGGAGAGTATGTCTCTTTTTGTCCATATTGACTTTCCCAGGTCAAGCTCCTCTTCTCCTATTAGGCCAAGGTAACGGATCAATATGTGGACCTGGTGAGCTGCTGTGTGGACATGCAGACAGCCACACACAGCAGGCTGTGGTCCAGCCAAGTGCCACATTCATTGACACCCACACACACAGCGCAACACATGCACATGCACATATGCAGCATACAGAAATCATGCATTCTCATATGCATGTCTGTCTATCCATCTAAAAATTGTGGCCTACTTTAAGTGAGGGTCCTTAAGCGAGACCCCATAAGACTTCACCCTGCCTTCCTCTGATATGAGAGTGACACAAACTAAGAGACTTGTGCCAGCTCAGAAGTTGTCTGGATCAACAAAGTCTGTGCCAGATGATGAGGAACTACAAATGGAACTGGCTACTGGAACAAATCATTCATGGACAGGAGATACCGTCAGTATGGAAAGTATTCAGCCCCTTTCAGTTTTCCATTTTTCTGTTTCAGACTCATCTTAATATGGATTCAGTTTAATGTTTTCTTCAATCTGCACACAATATTCCAAAATGATAAAGTAAAAACAGTGGGTGGGTCCTGGAGAGTGTCAAAGGCCATTGTCCTGGATGAAACCCAGAGCATTCAGGAGTACATCCACAAGATGTTACCCAGGGACAAACTGCTGATAGACTGTCTGAGGCAGCAGCAGCAAACAGAGAATGACAATCAAGCAGAGAAAGTGCTATGGCAAGACAACATCCTACATGGCTTGTACCATTGATAGACAGCTGAGGTGAGCATACAGCGAACAGCACAAGCACATAGCTGACAATGTGTATAGGAACACCGTGTGCTGAGTATGGGCTAGATGCACCAAGTCCAGGTGGGACTCTGTCCACACAGACCTGTTATGGAAAACAGTTACCGGTGACTAACTCATAAAGCAGGTACAGATAATGCCAATAGTTCCCACAACTTTATGAGGTAGTCACCAGGAATTGTTTTCCATAACAGGTATAACCTGTCAAAAATTAAGATGTAGAATTTCTTTACAGACCGTCAGTGGCAAGGCAGTGTTGGTACACAGCAAATAACTCTTTTCAACTGCTGACGTAATCCATATTATGGCAAGAACCACTCACAGCAATATAACCCAGACCAATGAACTATGCTACAGCCAGGAAGTAAAGACAAACCACAGTCTGTCATTACATTAAGATGTGAAGCTCAGTCAGTGTAGAAAGGTGCTTAGCATATGTGGGAACTCCATCAAGACTTTTGGAAAAACATTCCAGGTGAACATTTCATGAAGCTGGTTGAGAGAATGTATTCATTCATTACAGTTGTATTAAAAATCTAATCTTAATATCAAATCAAATTACTAAATCAATCAAACTGTCATGTATAAATCTATACATTTCCAGTTGTTGCTACACTGTGGCAAACTCCTTCCCTTCGTCTTCCCCTCTCTTCTCCTCCCCTGCTGCTTTCCCAGCTGATGAGTTGTGACATCCCCACTATGGCAGTGCGGCGACGGAGGGAGAGAGGGTAGAGGGGAAGGATGGAAAACCATAGAAGACAATGCAGGAGAGTGACAAGGGGGCAGGGGGAGGGGTGTCTTAGAGAGGGGTGAGGGGTACTGACAACCACCAATGTTAGGTGTATGGCAGGGTGAGATGGGATTGTGTGCGGATGTGCATAAATGTTTATACATGCATGTCTATGTGCACATGGCAGTATGCCAGGCATTGCCATCTGGCTGCTTGACAGGGCTCTTCTCATTAACAAGGAGGTTAATTGCTGTGGCAACACCCTGGCTGTGTCAAACATATCCCTGGGGACATGGAGGCAACAGATGAGCTACATGTGTGTGTACATACATGCACAAATGAATTTGTGCTCGTTTCTGTATTTAAGCATTAAATGAGGTAATGGAAACCCTTTTGGAATGGAAACCTTTTTTTTTTGTCAACATAAAATTGTCCTGGTATGTGAAGGGGGCATGTATGTGACCTGTGTTGTGAGTGTGCGTGGTTTGTGTGTGCATGTAAATACATGTTTAGATTATTCTTATGAATTATGCCTCGATTCTTTAATGATGTAGAAAGAATTGGGTTTGCAGACCCAATGTCTATAGCCCTGGGGGCAAACACACATATACACTCACGTCCGCACAGACATACAGGGCAGGGGGAAGGGGTGGCAATTTGCATGTTATTAAGGCATATTCATGACTAATTTTGTTAGCCCTGCCTAATAGATCTAAGTGACAGTTTGAGAAATCAAGAGTCTGCTTAAATATCATAGACATTCATGCAGACACGCTCTTCAGTCACATTCATTCTCTCTGCTCTCTCTGTCCACACAGTAATCATAACAACACGTATGGTTTCAAATACGAAGGCCATGTTAATCTGTTGGCTTGACATTTTGTCCTTTGTTTGCAACAGCTTTTATTGTATATCACAATAGAGTAAATCAACTAGTCTCTTCTATTATATGTTTAACCATGACCAACTATAAATGTACACATTCATGCAAGCTTATGCCTTGAATGACAGAAGTAACTTGCATTTTTGACCTGTTGCAGATCACAGTGTGTTGCATGTCTTCATATTTATTGTTTGCATTCAGTTTCACCCATTAATGGTGCACGAAATAGAGCTGTATGTACCACTAAATAATACAGACTACGCATGTTGTATTGCTTTAATGTTTAGATCCATGTGTGTGCATTTGTGTGTATTTAAAAATAATTCTTGGAGAAGACAAAATGTGGATGAAGCTGAGCATGGTTACATTTCATTCAAAACCCTCTTTCCAACTTTTTTGCATTTCAGGGCACTGTCCTCCATTTTTAAAGCATTATTCCACCAAATTAACAGTGAAATAAGTTTTAAAATTGCTAGTATTTTTTTAGCTGTTGTAAATGTTGAGAATTGAAATTGGTGCATATCATATTTATGGAAAGATTGTCTTCACATTTATACACATAGACATCTGTGCAGGTGTACGCACAGTTTTAGTGCATTCTTTTTTTTAAAGCAGTCAGTTTTTAGATAAATGCTCAGCAAAGTGGTAATTCCCAACACTGAACACTGTAGTTTGAGTGTAATGAAACAAAATCGAGTTAATATCACAGCAGCACACACGCTTTCCAATTCTCTTGTAAAGACAGAAACAGACTAAAATTTAAAATCAGTGTTTCACTCTCTCCTCTCTGCCTGGAGTTTAACTGAAAAGTTTTTTTCCTGTCAACTGGAAGATTTAACTCTGTGCTCTCTATGCGCTCACGTCACTTTTGTCAAATCTTGCCTTTCCTACTCTGCTTGGTGTGAACGTGAAGACGTGCTTGATCAAAAGTGAGTTTAACATTTTTAATCTGTGGAAAGTTTCATCAGAAGCACATCTCATGAGGCTTGTAAATATAAAGTTGTGTGTGTAATGCACAGTAATGTGTGATGGAGTTTTTTTCACCCCTCTTTCCATCCTGGATATGTGACAGCTGTCACTAGTGACTCGGAAAGGTGTCTGGGTAGAGTTAACATTTTCACCACTGGGAAACAAACACACACACACACACACACACACACACACGCACAGCTCTAGTTGCTGTCAGCTAGCGTACATTTTGCCATGCTCAGCATCTATCAGCTTCTTTTGAATTAGATTTTTTCTGAAACAGATTATACACACACTGCATGCTTGTTTTTTCTTATTTCTTAATTTTATATTTTATGTTAGAAATTCTAAAATACTTACATTTAGCATCCACTTTAATAAATGATCAAGGTTAATTTTGTTATAGGTTTCTCATGTACCATTTTTAATATAGTAATCAGTGTAAACGCTGGCATTGAAAACAGTGTTATACTGATATATATCTTACGTTATTTGTCCATAATTGTTTATTTTATTTAGCTCTTATGGTGGTTATTAGGGTTTCACTGTTGTGATTCAGATCAAAATGTTTAATACAACCATTTCAAAATTTTTCTTTTTCTTTCATTCCATGTCTTTCCTTTTCTCTCTCTTTCTGCTGCAGCTCTGGTTCCTTAGACCACAATGCTAATGAGTTAGAAGACCTGGAAATCCTGTTGCAAAACAAGGACACGGTCATCTCTGATTTGGAGACGGTGCCCAGAGAGGATTTACAGCAAAAGCAGAATGTAATTGACTCAATTTGTTATTTTGCATCACTAAAAAAGTTAGAGCCATGTTGTTAAGGTTTTATGTCTGATATTCTTTTGTGAACACATTGGTTGATTGCTAAGGGTAATTTAATTAAAAAAAAAGTTTTGTCTTTTTCCCAAATGTAATTGAATGCAGTATATTGAATATAATTACGTACATTAGGATTGACATGTGATATTGCAAGTTATTACTTCAGGTTTCAAGGCATTTTGTCATATTTATTGTATTTTAACAATATATTTCAGTACAGTTCTTGGAAACAATTAATTCAGTTAAGATCTTTTTTTCCCGAGAGTGCTTGTTATTGTTTAGAAGGATGTTTGAGAGGTGGAGAAGTGTTATTTTTTATGATATTGGTTTGGCAGCTGTGCAGGAAGCTCTCCATGTGCAGCCAGGTTTAAGAGGAAGCCAAGGCTTGTGTGATAAATTACCAGCATATCTCAGAGCCTTGGTTAACAAACATGGTGTCGCCGACCGGGATTAAAACGGAGAGTTTTCTACAGTCTTCCCACACCTCCTTACTGGGTGTCAGTAAATTTTACCCACTGCTGTTTTATGGTTTTCTGCGGCTTACAGTGAAGATACATGCAAACGCACAGGCTAGCAGATATGCACTCACACATGTACACACATACTGTACATTTGTGCATGTGGTAAACCCTTTGCACTGCTGGTAATTTGTGGTTTGTTTAATTAGTGGGCCTAAGAGAAACAAGAAGAGTAACTGAAGCTTGTTCTGATAATCATATTTTCAGCAAATGTTGATATATTATTTCATTCAGCTTGTGTTTCTTCTTAACTTGAACATCTGCAAAACAGATGCACAGATAGATCTGTTGACACGGATTGACATACACACATAGCTTTGTTAAAGGTGATTGCCACATAATCTCCTCTTTGTTTTTAGCAATAAGCCAGTTTCTGTATGAAATGAATGATACTGATGATAGATGACAAGCTTCTATATTTACAAATAGTTCTATTATAATGAAATCAGATATTAAATAGTAATACAAACATTTATGAAATGCTACTGATGTTTTTAGATAGTGTAAGATTATTATTGTATGATTTGTGAAAATCAATCAACATTTCTTAAACATAGCATACCGATAATTAGTCACACTCACTGAAAATAAGAATTTTTTTTTTTTTTTATAATCTTTCACATTTTGACTCCTTCATGACCCACGCCGCAACACAGGTACTGGAAAGTGGCGAGAGGCTGGTGCACCTGGAGAGCGAGCTGTCCTGTCTGCAGCGGATCCACAAAGACAACATGAAGGAGATTGCTGAGAAAGACATCTGCATCACCAAACTGCAAGCTAACATTCAGATGCTGCAACAAGAGGGAGCTGACACTAGTGCTCAGGTGTGGAGAGGCGCACATGTGCATGAATTAGAACGCTTATTCACACAATTGTACTTTAACATGTGGATGGCTGAAAATATAGGCAGGAAAGCTGCACTCATATGCTGTTAGTCACTTCAAACAACCTTTCCTTGACCTCTTTTCACCTTAGTTGTTTTACATGATGTTGCCTTGCAGTGAGCCTCTTGATGTTTCGCATTAGTTTTTAGATTAGGTGACTGGTATGACATTTGTTTTACACACTGCAGATATAACCACATGCACAGTTCATTGTTTTTCTTTCCAACTTTAGCTTTCCAAGTTGAACATGGGAGTGAGGGAGCTGCAGGAGACGCTTAACAAAAAAGAGGAGGAATGGAGGCAAAGAGAAGAGAAACAAAAGCTGAAATATGAAAGGGAGCATCAAAATGCAGAGGAGAGGAGACAGCGGGAGCGACAAAAGAGAGAGGAGGATTGGATGAAGAGAGTGGAAGAGGAGAAGAGAACAGCAGAAGAGTGGAAGAGGGGAATTAAGGAGGAGAGAAAGGCCCATGCACAAGCTGTTAAAAAGTGGGCTGAGAAAGCAGCTGGTTTGAATTCTGAGGTGAGTATAGTACTGTGGGGTACTATGTAGATCTGTTGTGTCTGACCAGGCTACTCACTAATGCATGATAATGTGTAAATTTGTAAGAATGTTAATTCTCTTCCTTGTGTTCCCTCATTTAAAATCTCTTTTATGAAATGGCTTCTTTTGAGAGTAGTAAAAATAATTAACTACAACAGAGACTGAAAAAACAATAAAACATAGAAAAACCTAAGATTTGTAGAAACAAGGGAACCTAAGCACACTCATCACACTAACACCTTTGTCCACAATTAGAAGATTACTAGAATCAGTTCATTATTCATACAATATATGTTTAAAATAATTCATCCTCTTTTGAACTTTCTTTAAAACCCAAATCAGTCATATTTTTTTATAATGACATTTTCTTAACTGAGGTTGATTTTACTATGTTTGCTTATAGCAGTGCAGAAGGCAACGTATTCACACACATGCATGTACGTACATGCACTTACAATACACACACAAAAAAACAAAACACTTCACCTTAATTCAGACCTCAGACACTCGCTCTTCCACCCCCACTTCCCCCCTTTCTTCCATCCTGCCATCTCGCCACAACGCTCCAAATTAATCTGCAAAATATTGATTTGAAAAGCAAGGGGGTGGGGGGGGGTGGCATGTGGGGGCGCACGATTGCGGCCGCATATTAATTTGAATGGGCCGCACTTCGTCTCTCCTCTATACTTTAAGATCCTCATAACTTCATAATTGATTAATGTTCCTTTGTGAAGTGGGGATGAATAATACATTAGTGGGCCTGCTGTACCCTCAGGCTGATGAGAAAATGTTTAATTTCAGTAAATGTAGCGCTCCCTCTCTTTCTCTCTTTCATTTTTACTCTGGTTATTTGTGAGTGTTGGATAGTGTTTGTGAGTTTTCACTTGTGAGCTGAGGACTAGAGTTGATTTGCTTTTTTTCGTGTTTACTGTTGAATTGAAGTGCATGTTAAGTATCACAAACAAAGGCAGTGATCTGCATTTACAAACATGAATGAATAATTTGGTGAAATAGGCTCAGTGAAGCTGTGTCACTTTACAAGCTGAAGTTTACCTTCAAAACAGAAATCAGCTTTTTGGACATATTTACACATGAGGATGCACTGTGAACATCAGCTGCAACATTATCAGTCAGCAATCAGCGCAAACATGCAAATGTGCCATAAACCCACCTGATGGGTACAAATGGCCTCTTCAAGAGCCTGGAAAGGCCCATAGAGGTTGTCATATGTCAGCGGCTCTGACTGGCACAGCCTGGCTCAACTCAGCTCATCTGGTTAACAGTGCTAATTATGCTAATCACAATCTTAATGATGATGAGGGATTTAAGAGCTACAGCACAGCAAGCTTGGTGTGTGTGTGTGGGCTTGTGAGTGTTAATGAGGGGTGGGGGGGTGTCAGGCACCTGATGGTGAGCGTTTGTGTGTGTGTGTAGAATAGATAAATGATGAAGTGAACACACTCAGAGACAGCTCACAGATCCCACTTTATGCCTGCTTAGCTTTGCTTCATTGTCATTTGAACTTGTGCCAGTGATGAAAGGGATCTATACACATGCACAGCTTCAGACATGCACACCCTGAGCACTAATTGAATAAATAATACTTATCCATTAACAAGCATCCTAATTACTTATGCTAATCAACCTGGATAACCCAATTAACCTCATAGAGCGAGGCAAGGAGGGCTCCTCTGTGTGTTTATTTGTGGTTGTGGATTTTTATGCCTGAGAGCATATCAAAGACACTTAAGAGAACACATTTGCCTAATTAGATTTCAATGACATAGACAAGCATTTATGTTTTTTCATGTTCTTACTGTTTTGTTTTGAATGCAGGGTAATAGGCTTTCCATACCAACAGAAATAAGTCTTGAACAGCATTTGCGTTTTTGTACTGGCATATGTGAGGATATATGAATTTACACACACTGTATTTCTGTCTGCCTTCTGCCAGACTGTCTTTCAGTTAGATCCACATAAACATGTATATTGTGGCTTTAAACATAGTGTGTATTTGTTCAGAGACTGTCTGCCTGTTCCATTAGTTCATGTCCTTGGAAATACAATTTGGCCTCAAGTTGTCTCCATTTATTTAAAACCTTCAGACAGTGTTCTCCCTTAATAGTGAGCTGTGTTTCCTCTCGTTTAGCTTTACTACTCATTATCCGGGCCATGGACAAGACGGTGTTTAAGAAAGAGGGAGAGGGAGACGTGAAGGGAGACAGAGAGAGAGAGAGAGAGAGGGAGAGAAAATGAGTAAAAGTGAAATCAAATCTGAAGGAAAACGACATAGGGAATGAGTGATTGAGAGATAGAGAATGTAGATTGTCTTTGAACCTGACCACAGTTGCCTGTGCTTCCAAAGAATGGTGAGACAAGAGAAGGGAAGAAGACATCCAGACAACACTGTCTTTGTTGAGCCTATGTGGGAGAGAGAAAGCTAGAACACAAGAGATTAATGTCTTACAGAAAGTCGCCTAGAGTTGTGGGGTTGTGAAACAGCCCACCCCACAGTCAACTACATCTCTGGCTTTTAATTAATAGTCAGTTGAAGTTTCTCTTTGCACATCTGGGTGTATGTTTGTATCTATTGGGTTCACTTGTGTTTATCTGTTTGCCTCTGTGACATGTGCCTGTGTTTGCTACATTTAGGCATGCAGTTTATCATGTGGATTTTGTAGATGACAATTAATTTCGACAGGCTAGTACTCATCTGCTCCCCTGGTTTTGTCTGCATGGGTAACAGTGGGAGAGCTTCGATTAAAAGACAGCCTCAATGATTTGACATAATAATAAGGGTTACACAGGGTACATCCCAAGTCTCTTATATGCACCAGTGTTTTCCTCACTTGTGTCTTTTCTTTGTGGCTTAGTCCTGCCCACTTAAGATGCAAGGGAAAGATGAAAGAAAAACATGCATGGTGAGAGGAATTGAGGAAACTTGTTTTAAGATACATAAGACATCCTTCCTTTTGATCCTGAATCTGTTGGTGTCCAATCACCAACTCAAAAGACTTCCCTCAAGGATGCTTTTTTGTTTCCTTGCTCATGGCTCCTCCAGCAGCCTCCTTGCTCTTCAATCCTCACTCCTCAGAGCAGGTATGAGTGTTGGAACATCCTTGATCCTCACTCGACCGGAATGACTTCTGGGTCAAGCGAGGATCAAGGAGCGAGGAATGAGATGCGATGCAGCCGTTATGTATTGGAGCTCAGACAAGAGTCCTCAAAAAGTGGCAACTGAGATGTTTTGTCATCTCAAGGCATATGCTGTTTACTTATAGTACCAATTTGTCTTTTTTAAAATTATTTATCTTGATTAGCCTCTTTTTTTATCATCAGCGAGTGGAAGAGTTGTCAGAAACATCAGTATCAGTTTGAAAATCCCTGTAAGCCAATTAGAATAGTGAGATATTTAGATCATTTTCACTTCTTCTGCAACACATATAAATCATTTCCACAAATTAGGATAGGTTCTCATGTTAGTCTGGATAAATTTAAGGTCTCAAAACTGACTTAAGGTGTTTAAAAATATATAGTATTAAAAGCTGCACCCAACATTGACATTAGCTTATATTTTTGCTCATGTGCTAATGGAGTTCTCTATGGTAAGCTGTGGGTCTTAACATCCAAAGCCTGCTCTTTTATTATAAGAAGATCAAACACTAGCATCTTCTCTGAGCAGTACAGGTATTGAATGGGGGTGAGATGCTAATATGCTCATGCTCACATGGCTGAGTCATCTACTCTGTGACCTTGCCTTATTAACTAATTTAAGACTGATTAGATCAGTCTTGCACGAACGTGCACTGGCACACATACACACCATATTTGAATATCAAAATGGACTTTCTTGACCAGTGAAAACTAGATTAATTCAAAATGTTTACATCAAGGTGTACGTAAAACAGATGACTGGGCATATTTTAATGCACCTTGCAGCATTTAAAGCCATTTATGACATTAACTAAAGCCTCATGCTATGCAAACACATTTTGCAAGTCAAAGCCACTTATCATGAGAACACTTGATGCTCATTTTTTTCTCCCTTGCCTTGTTTTGACTTCATGAGATCATCAGCATAGGTACTGGTTTTGCACTCCATATGATGGCTTTTAGTGAGCTAAAATGTGATGTGTATACATAATAGCATGCCACAGCAGCACTATAAGAAATAAAACTCTATTACTACACCACTGTATTAAAAATGCATTGTGCTTTTACACACAAGCTACAGAGACTGGTCGTCATATCTCAGATTAGAAGAATATGAACATTCTTACATGAGTGCAGTGTTCACCCATTTACTATAGCATTGTGATGTTCAAATGTCTCTTCATTTAGCTTTGTCAGTGTTATGTAAACAACAATTGCTCTCCTCCCCACAAATAGTTTTCTTCTTTAGTCTTCAGAAACTGTCAAGAGATTGTACAGTGACTACTAGGTCAAATCCCTGGCAACGTACCAGCATGGTGGGTGATGTACTTTCGGTGCAGAGACCTCCCGCATTCTTATCCTTCCTTTGAAAAATAATTTTTATTATGTCATTCTTGTGGTTGATATACGAACCCATTGCACTCCTGTTTCTTCCAGTTTGTGTGGTGCACAGTTCTATAGTTAGTAGGGCTGCATGATAAATCGTTTTGTGAGTGTGATTCAGTCTCACGTGACAATGATTATACCATGTTTCCATTAGCACTGAGATTCCTTGGATCAAACTAAGCGCTCCCTTTTCCTTGCTAAGCTGCATTAACCAATAACAGCAACTAATAACCCCAAAGTGATTTATTTCTGCCTCAACTGCTATTCTGCACAAGGTGTATAGGGCATGCAGCTCAACATTTGAGAAATAATTGCAGGAGGGCACAGAATATGTTTCACAATGTCAAACATGTTGTATTTGTTTTTGAATCAGTCTTCGCTCTACAGCTCGTCGCATGATGTAACGCATTCCTGTTAACGCAGGTTAGTGAGGATAAGGG